TTTTTGGCTTAAGGAAGACACTCATTCCCGCGGAGGTGAGGAGCTTTCAGGGAATGGTGATCCCTGAAAGCTGCCACCGCACCGAGCGAACAGAAGGAGACGTCCCAGACTCAAGACCGGGACCTGGCAGCATGATCTGTGGCCCAGAGGCACTGCAGGAGGGAAAACCCCGGTGCAGCACGTCCCTCTGCCTGGCTGGGTCCCAGGTCTCCGAACACAGCCACCCGTCTCGCCCCGAGGGCCTGGCACGGCTCAGCCCTCCCCTGCACAGAGCTCAGGAGCACACAGAGCTGGTCGGGGCTCTCGGGATGCCTCAGCCCCTGCGCTCAGACGTGTCCTGCAGCTCGGCACGACCGCACAGCCTGACCCTGCGGGCGTCTGTCTCTGCTAACCGCCATCCCTGACACAGCGTACACCAGGAGGGGCTTGGAAACACCCCACAGAGCCACCAAAAAAACACTCGGGGCCACCTGGAGCGACAGGAGCTAGAGGAGCCGATGACATTGAACAGCAACACTCAGCCTTAGGGAACAAGGGTTTACAAAGCTGCAACATCCAGCTGCAAAGCATGGAGGCGGGGGGCTTTCTATCCTCCAGATCAAGGAGCTGCCTATGTCCTGCTGCCCCTCCTGTCCCGTCCCGCTGTCCCTCCCACCCGGTTGCAGAGCAGGGCGCAGCCCACCTCCGGTGTTGGTGATGGTGACGGGCACACCCTGGACTTGCACGCCGTTGATGCTGATGGTCTGCATGGCCTGCGCCGCAGCCGCCAGCTGAGCCGCGTTCAAGCTGATGATGCCTCCGGCCGGGGCGATCTTTGGCAGAGTGCGTTCCTTGCACGTGGCTGGTTTCTTGCTGCTGACCCCCACGGCGGAGCTGCGTGACACCGGGCTGCTGCAGGAGGTCCTCGACGGAGCCACCGTCACGGCCGGAGCTTCCTGGAGCAGCACCGACTGCAGCTCACCCGACGGCGTCTTGAAGTAAATCTGAGAGGAGGAGAGAGGAGGAATGAGACCAGCCACTGTCACCGGGCAGAGCCCCCGCCACCACGATGCTCACCCTGCCCACACAACCCAGGAATCCACACCTGCCATGAGCCAAAGAGCCTGAGAAGTTGCCCAAGCACCTGAAGAGCCTTTGGGGGCCTCCTGAAGGAGGTCCTGGCCCTGCATGGCAGCAGAGGGCTGCTTTTGCAGCCTGGTTTCCAAAGGCAACACTAAAGAGACAGACCTACGGGCTGTGAGCTTCACTCCCCCACCTCCCTCCATCTCCCGAGAGCTTCTGAGCAGGCTGGCTCGTCCCAACCCAAGCTGGTGGCACAGCAGAGGTTTCAAGGACACTGCTCTTCTAGAAGTCCTGCAAGAGCAGGTGGTGAGCGAGAGAGACTTAATAAAGCCCTGCAGAGGGAACAGCGGCGCTCCCAACCCTTCTTAGACATCAGAGAATCCACCACACGGTGCCTAAACTGATGCCAAGTTGAGGATGTTTGGTGGCTCACAAAACCCTTCCGTTTTTTAAAGCCTGGGTGAGAGCTCAGAGGAGAAATGGGGCAGAGAGACCTTGCAGGGGGACACAGGAGGTGGTACCTGGGTAGGAATGGGTTCCGTCGGCTGGATCTGGAAGTTCTGGGAGGATTTTTGGGGGACGGTGGGAAGCGTGGCGGAGGCGGCCTGGACCACGCGCAGGGCTTGCTGTGGGATCTGCACAACCTGTGGCTCCTGCTTGGGCTGCACCACCTGGACCTGCTGCACCACGGCCGGCTGGCCCGAGCCCGGGCTCTGCACGATCAGCAGGTTGTTGCCCGCCTGGATGATGTTCTCGGCCGTGGTCTCTATTAACACCGTCTCCACCTGCTCGGCCACGGCCACGGCAGCAGGCTGGGAGGGCGACAGCGTTTTCTTTCGAGTCTTTTTGCTGGGTTTCGAGGGGCTCTCTGCAAGGATCTGAGCCTGTGTGCCCGGCTCAGCGGCGTTCACCAGGTTGTTCACGGGCAGGGTAAGTGTCACGTTGCTGCCACCGGCTAATTTCACCACGCTGCTCGTGCCCTGCGCCGGCGAAGCTCCACCCTTCTGCGCTGGAGCTGGTTTGATGGGCACGGGCTTGTGAGAGGAAGAAGAAGAAGAAGGGGTGAGGATGGCTTGATTCATGCCTGGAATTATTTGGATCTGGTTGGTGAGGTTGGGCTGGACCTGGATGGTCTGTCCCCCCGCGGCCTGGAGCTGGGGCACCGCCTGGTACTGGATGTTGGTGGACGAGCGGGTGCCCTTGCTGATGATGGTCGGGTTCTGGATGGCAAAAACCAGCTGTCCCCCAGCGTAGGAGGCGCTGACCTGAGAGCCCTGGATCTGGAAGAGGTTCCCTTTCGACGAGAGGATCCCAAAGCTGCTCTTACCAGAGCCCAGAGGGAGCGGAGCGGGTTTGATAGGGATGAGTTTGCGAGACGTTGGCTGAGGAGGGGCAGGAGGGGGCACGGCGGGTTCCACCGCGGGGGGACCGATTTTGCTACACGTCGCTGCGAGGAGGGCGAGAGGAGATGGCTGGGAGTCCTGGGGAGTGGGGAAGGAGACGGGTTAAGTTAGAGACATGGGCTTGTGCCAAACATCTGGAGATTGAGTCAGCGAAGGAAAGCGCACATGCTATCGACAGTGACCCAGTCCATGGCAATGAGACAGCCCTTATTAAGGGAACTGCTTAATTACCCCGACCACGTGTGCCTTTAGCTCACCCTAGTCACCCTCCGTTTAGCCATCAGGATGGTGACTGCCTTTTAACTGCGTGCCTGTGCTCTTACAACCTCTAAAAAGCTGCAAATACCCTGCGAGTCTGCTGGTGCTTCCACCTGCTACACACATCCTGGAGTGTTTCACACAGTTTTAATTCCAAGACCACCTTGGGATATCAGCTGCTAACGTGACCCAAGAAATCCTTACGGAAAACCCACCGCAGGAAGGAGAAACACTCCGGAAAAATCAGCATCAGAGCTGGACACAAATCCAGAGCGCAGCCCCCCAACCTGTCCTGCGACCAGCCCTCCTCCTGCTGCGGCAACGCTGGCTGTGGCGGAGGCAGGAGGGGCTGAATGACGCAGCGGTTGCTGTCCTGTGCCCCAGGACATGTCCCTCTGCCCTGGCAGGGAGCTGGGAGCCCTCTGATGGCCCCGTACTCACCTGGGCAGCGGAGGCGGCCGGCTGCAGGTATTCACTGGGGCTGACGGCAGCGGTTGCAGCCATGCTGTCTCGTGATCTGCGAGGAGGAAGCAGAGAGATGAGGAGTAAGACCAGAGCCGAGACCACAGCTCCTCGGTGCGCCCAGCCCAGGGTCCCAATGCCCGAGGGACTCTCCCGGTGTCACCCGACATCGCCCCAAATGTCACACCTCACCCGTATGCCTTCACTGGGACGTTACACAGGGAAAAAATAAATCTCACCAGCTCATCACCCTCTCCCCTGCATCCCTTCGCCCTTTGTTCACCAGCAAAGGAAAACACCAGTTGGGGGGGAAACCGGCTGCAGCCTCCATCCCCGCGCAGCCTGGACCTGAAGCGATGCCCCCCCTCCCCGTGCTGAGAGACCCCCACTGCCCTGCGGAGCCCCCCGCTTCAAATCGGAGGCAGGCGTGGCCCCGGCTAGCCGACAGCCTCCCGGTTCCCAGCTCACACCGCCTCCCTGCCGCTTGTTTTCCTAACTTTGGGAATCTCAGAGGACAGGGTTTTGGTACAGAACTGTGTTTGTGGAGGCTGGAAGAACATTGTTTTCAATTATTTTGGTATGTTGTCAGTGCTGAGTGTTTGTAAGTCGTTATGTAATTAAAAGGTCACTTCGGGGAATTAAAAAAAAATAAAATCCGAGAGGAGCCGGTTGCTCGAGGGCCTCGGCAGACAGGGATGACAATGACATGGTGGGAGCGTGGGACAAGGCAGGGCCACCCCGAGGGGCAGCTGAGACGATGGAGGCGATCCGCCGCCCGTGTGGCTTTGCTGCCTTCTTCTCCTGACACTTTCCTTGGGCGTTTGCAACCTCCGACGCTCACCACTGAACACCGCAGAGTGGTAACACGGAGGCTGAGGCTCTTCTCACCGCTGGAGCAGCTACAAGAGTTTCTTTTCAAAGGTTTAATGGGGTGAAGCCAGGGAGAGAGACTCCTAAATCCTCACAATCTGCTAAATCTTTTGTTCCGGACTAAAAAGACATTTCATCCTTGACATTTCCTTTGGCAAATTCCCCAGTCGACCCCATCCAGCAGTCGCTCCATGGCTCAATAGGTTGGTAATATTTGCCCAGATGAGGTGTCAGGGAGAACTTGTCCGAGCTCAAACGCTCTTTACTACCGCTGCTGACGATGTCCTGACTCCAAACAGGGAATTACGGCCGTCTGAGGAGCGCGGACGCTTGGGGTTCACTCAGGCGAGCCGACGGGAAGCCAGCGCTCTGGTATTTACGGAGATGCTGGGATAGCCGGAGCAATGGGAGGCACTGGCAGAGGACAAAGAGCACGATGAAGATACCAGGTCCCGGATGGCTTGTCACACATCGAACCGGACAAAAATGAACCGTTGTCTAAGCACAGTGAGCGGTTTTTTGCTGCTTGCGGGACCGGGGCAGAGCCGTGTCCCAGGACTGCGGCAGAGCGCTGGTGTCTGGCTCCGGGTGGGTGAAGGGAAGCTCTGGCACGGGCAGAGCCGCTGGTTAACAACCTGACAGATGCTCCCATCCACGGGAGATCCAGGGTTGGATGAGGGACTGCACAGATGGGGAGAACTAAGCGTGGGGTTTGTTCCAAAGGGAGCAAACTCCACATTCCACAGCCCAGCGTGGCAAAGGCTCGGCAGCAACTATCGCAAGTGAGGCGAGAGGCATCGGCACAGGCTGCCCAGGGGGGGCACAGCCGGCACGCCGCCTCAGAGAGGGCAAATGTGACTTTGCTTGAAGCATCGGCCACTGCTGACATGTGGCTGCAGGAGCCCCGGGCAAAAGGCACATCTGCGTTGGGAAAATAGCGGGGTTCTTCTGTTTTGATGCTGTCAGCATCTTCATACAGCTTACAGCTGGGAGAAAAGTCCTCCAGGTAACGGAGATGCCGGCAGGCCGGCACGCCGCCTCAGAGAGGGCAAATGTGACTTTGCTTGAAGCATCGGCCACTGCTGACATGTGGCTGCAGGAGCCCCGGGCAAAAGGCACATCTGCGTTGGGAAAATAGCGGGGTTCTTCTGTTTTGATGCTGTCAGCATCTTCATACAGCTTACAGCTGGGAGAAAAGTCCTCCAGGTAACGGAGATGCCGGCAGCACTCGCATAAAAGCAGGGGTGAAGGTCCTCAGCTCCTCCCACACCCCTCGGCTGTCCTGCGCAGCACGGACCGAGGCAGACGTCTCCTCCCCGGGAACACGAAGCCTTTTGCCAAAGAGAAAGCGTCTGAGAAACCGAGTGATCGGGCCCCGGGCCGAGTCACCAAGGAGCCGGCTTCCCAAAGGCAGGCAGCTCGCCCCTCGCCAGCACGGGCTCCACGGCTCCTCTCGAGGCTCCACTGAGGCTCTTTCACAGCCCTGCTGCCACCAAGCACATAAATAAATCCCCGGGAAGAGGCAGGTCAGAGTCCCAGGCGCCTGGGATGGCATCGCGGGGAAATTACTCGCCCCGTTCCCTAGTGAAGGGCATCTGTTCCCTCGAAGCCGCTCGCTGCCGCTTGCTGTGGCAACCTCCTGGAGACGAAAGCATCAGACGCTCGCACGCAGCGAGCTGGCCAGCGATAAAAGGACGCTTTCTTCCCAGAAAGCCGGGAGCTTGTACGGCTGCCCGGGTTCAAGGGCTGCACCCTCCCTTTCAGCAGAATTAGGGCACTGCCGAGGATTAACAGCCCTGACTACAAACGAGAGCCACGCTGAGCTGGCCAGACAGACAGACGTGTACCAGGAGAGATCCCATCAGCCCCAACAAATAAATCAGGATAACGACCGGGGGGGAAGCCCCGTGTCGCCACAGTTGTGGTGTAATCCCTCTGCGAGTCTCGCCTGTAGGATTTACATCCGAGTCCAGCAGCGACAGTCTCACATCCTGAGGGTGTAATGTGGTGTAAACCTACTCAGAGCACAGTGAAAGCAAGTGGGTACTAAAACACACGGCCTCACTCTCGGGGGGTTTCCAGCACAGACTGGGGAGCAGGACTGTCGCTGCCTGCGGGGAACGTTTCTGGATCAGCCCTGGGGGACACGGACCCCGCCGAGCGGCAGGAGACCCCCTCCAGCACCCTCTCCCAGACGTGCACCGTGCAACCGTCACCCACTCCGCACTACACACTTATCCACGCCCCACGAAGAATCTGCTGAGTGGTTCGGATCCACTTCGCCCTTCTGTAAACCCCCAGCCAAGCCTCAAGCGGAACAGGACTCTCCCTTACAGCAATTAAAGAGCTCTGATTCATAAAATAATTTTTTTCTCTGGCTACCTCTTCTTCCTCCGCTTGTCACAAGTGCAGGGAAACCATCTCCCTCCACACTGGAAACAACCTCCTCACCCTTTGCCTGCCTTCCCCCCTGTGAAAGGACAAAGCAACCAAAACCTGAGTGATTTCTGGCTCGAGAACTGTTTATTATGTCCCTCAAACGAGCACAACAAGGGCTCATTCCTGACCCAGGACACGCGGACCAAGCGCCTCGCATCCCGACCAACTGTCCAGATCCCCTGACGTCTGCCTGCCGGTGCTTCGAGCAGCTCTCGGAGCCTGCCGGGAGCTCCCGGCACACGGAAAAGGAAATTCCCAGCACTCAGAGCGATGGAGCTGTAGGAGGAGAAAACTTACCAACCGCGCCAGCCCATGAGACCCCATGTCCAGCCGGAGGAAACGCCCGCTAGCAGCCAGCTGGACCGCTCACACCAGCACGATTGGTAGGTTTGCTCCAAGGCGGCTCCTTCGCGTCTCACAAGAATTTAGTTACTTTGGAAACTGTGCCATTCTCTTCAATATTCTACAAGAGATACAAAGAAGAGAGATTTTTTTTTTTTTTTTCCCCACCCCTAACCAGGACAAGCCCGTCTCCTCGGGGAGCTGCCAGGCCCAGCGGAGGAGCCCGAGACAGAGGCAAACGCTGACGAGAAGGTACCTGCCAGCCCTCACAACGCCCCGTCCCACAGCTCGAGCAGCGCAGGCACCTCTACACAGCTATAAAACTCTCTTTCGGGGGGTCTTGGAAAGTTTTGTATATTTTAGACCATGAGTTCAAACCCTATCACCATGATATCCATGTTACCTTCTCCCAGCTCTGCTCCAAGAGAGGAAACCACCAAATTACAGACAGGACACAGGCATCAGTCCAGGTATTCCAGCTGCAGGGGAGCTCCCTGAAGCACCCTTCCCACCTGCCTGACAGATCTTTTTTTTCTGGGGGGTGAACATGATCCTAACTTTCAGACTCATTTTAAGGCAATGGCCACACCTGATCCGAGTTACCGCGGTTTTAATTAACACCTTGAAGGTGAATCAGAGTCCCCTCAAATCCACGCAAGACCTCGGCGACTGCAAATAAACCGCTGGGGGTGATGAAGCGAAGCAGAGTCATAGGGGAAAAAACCACGCGGATGGAAGCAGCCCCATTTCTTTGTCGTGGCCATAAGCACATACTCAAAGCCGGGCGCAAAGGAGCTCCAACACCTGCAAATTTACATACTAACAGCAGGAAATCTGAGAAAAAACTGGCTGGGATTTCTGTTGTTGTTTTAACTCCTGCCCTGACTCCGACACGCCGGCATTCCAGCCACTTGCCAACATCAGAGCTGGTTTTCTCCTTCCCTAACGCTGGGGGGGAAATTCCCTGGTGCTTCGGCTGCATTTAAGGAGGAGGAAGAGGAGAAGCAGCTCCAACCAAGCGAAGCAGGCTGGCCGCACAGGTGTGCTGCAGAACAACCGGCCCTGGGGAGGAGGGAGCAGCTCCTGGCTCTGAGGAGGGGAGCAAGCGGATCGGGGGACGCCCTGGAGCGGCAGCCCCCCCAGAGCGACGACAGGGCCCGGTGGAAACTTCCAGCAGCATCAATC